TAACAACTTTTTTTTTACCGATTTTCGACTGAAATCAACATTTGAGTTAATAGTTGAATAATTCAGATAATACAAGCCCATAGTTTTTTTTTTATTGATAGATATAGAGAGGGAGAGAGAGAGAGAGCGAGAGAGGATATTTACCAATAGAACACCAAAACTTTTATTGATTGATTATTGTCCAACTATAATAATAATAATAATAAAATTTATTTTTATTCTCATTCAATATATACAGATCAATAGTACACATTATCAGTGTTACTATTATTTTTATTGTTAAGAAAGAAATACACCACTGTTCTTTTGTTTGTTTGTTTTTTTTTGGAAAATAGTTTCTATTGTATTTCTATTACTTTTTTTAATTAAGTTAATACAATTATATATTGGCAACTGTTTTCTTTAGACTTATTAGACTGTTCGACTTAGACTTGTTGTTATCTATGTAACTAATGAAGTAACTCATAAAAGACAATGATAAACTAAGATTTTATATAATCATCAATCCTGGTTGTGTTTGTTTTTCTTTTAAAGTTTAATTAGTATAACATATTTAACATACACATCAGTCAGTTAGTCAGTCAGCTACAACGTAGGACCAGGAACATATATGCATCAGTTCAAGTTGCCATACCTCGTTAGTACAACAAGATGAACACTGGATTCATAGAGTCAGTCAGCCCGTCAGTCACAACGTAGAACCGGATTCATAGAAGTAGTTAATTTAGTGGTGGTAGTATATAAACAATAAATTGTATATAAGGATATAGTATAGGAAGGAAGAAAGTTATGAAACAATTTTAATCTCAAGGTTTAAGGGAAGATAAAGATTGTATACACCTACGCCATTATTATCGATTCTGAGCCATGTCACCTAGAGTCTCCAACCATTGGTTACGTTAGTTACGCGGATCCCAATCAAGTAGTCTGCATCTGCTAACATGGCTTATACTAGAAGTTAGTGACTTCAAGCACTGATTCATACACAGATATAAAAGCTATTTTGTAGAAATTAATTCAATGTTTTTTAAGTTTTCAGTATACATTTATATGAACTGAAAAACCATTGAAAAATGGAGAGTTGTGAACAAATGGTTTTATTTTTTAGTGTATTTAAAACATTTTCAGCAGTTGAACATCAATAATTATGTGTATAAGAATGAACCTACTCTCGATGCTAGTTTTACAGAAGAATAAAAAGATACTAGATGTGAGCATGTGTATGAGGTCATGGGTAGGTAGTACTAAAGAGAAAACAAATGTCCACTAATTTTTTTAGTTTACATTTGTCTACAGGCTGATATTAAACCATGAGAAACTCAGGCAGTTAAACATGAATGAGGATATGGACAGACGTAAATTAGTGCACGTCACTAGGTATTTGGATGGTAAATAAACTTTTGTTTAAAGTATCCCACACATTATTTCAATCTTAGAGTTTGACAATCGATCAAGGTCCCGTCATTTCATGTGACAGTTTCATCGAATTTCCGCTCCAACTTTACATCAAATCGCTCAATTTTTTTATTCGAAATAAAAACAAAATCTTATCAATGTACATTAACAGTAGTTGCACACAACAATTTATATATATATATATATATATATATGTCATGAATAGCCAATTGTTACAAATTACATTGTGGTAGTGTTCACAACGTATATTATTGCTTTATAGTATTACATTGAATTAGTATACAACTACACATTCAATTGGTTGCCTTGGAGGCGAAAATTTTTTTATGATGGCTGATTAAACTGTAGCAGTGAAAGTGATCTTCAAACGCACAACTCAGTACTTGAATTTAAAATATTTTGACTAAGTAATCACTATTGATAAAGATTTGCATTATCCCGTCGTTATTATTCATAAAGGAAATTTGATCAGTTTTATCGGTATATGCACATACTGTGAGGATTACTTGGATATAACCATTCTGTCAAAAGCTGCCAACAAAGACTGATCAAAATTAGATTGTAAAAACCTACAACGAGTGAATTCCAGAACTTATGAATGGTGATATAAACATTGTGCCCGTTGGACATGTTGGTGGCTATCTAAACTTAGTAGCTAGGTGGATAACATGTTGGACATCAGAAATGAAAAGTACTGAATTCGAGCCCAAATGTGAACATCAACTGTAGGTTGCAGGCAAATTCAATCGATAAGTAAAACGAAACGTGCGTCATGGTTCCCACCGCTAACTAAAACCCATCTATTTGATAATGGGTCACTATACCTTTTGAATTAAGGTTTTATTAATGACCAAAATCATAACATTGTACGTGTTATATAAACTACTAAAATAGCATGTTTCTTTTTCTCTCAACTATCAACTTTCTCTAATCTTTTTTTTCCTTAATATTAAAAAAATGAAGTTAATCAAATTTGTGAAAATCGTTTCAGAAATAATTAGACTAATAAATGTACGTTTAATAAAATCTAGCTAGAAACCTGCAAATATATGAAATATGTTATGAACAGCAATGTCTATTCGTTAAACTGCATTGATTGTATGACTCTTTAGCGTAAAAAGGCTACAATGATACAGAATCAGAATGAATGAAATACATTAAAAATTGATATGGCAATACATTTGAGCAGATACAATTGATTGATCACTGGGTGATGATTAATGTCATGTATATCAGTTCCTTCTTAGTGCAGATCAAATCCTATCGACCAAGTTGCAATGTGGCCATTAGTCTAAGTGACTCGTCAACAGGGTTTCCTGTTAACTATCTCCAACCACCATTTTATCTGAACAGACACTCTATAATTAAATTACCAGACAATTACAACTTATAAGTGTATTTTATTATCTATTGTGTAACAAAATAAGAATATATTAGCACAGAAAATGGCAAATTTATTGGATATGCTGAAGAGCAATAAACAGCAATTAAGTAATGTGTGTCAGTTTCACAAAAGTAACTTATTAGTACTAGAACAACACTTAAAAAGGAACAATATAATTTTCAATAAAATCCTCATCAGGCTTTACTGTAATATATAGTAATATCTATAGGCACATACGAAATTATTAAACCAGTCATGGAAGTTTTTGAGTCAGTGATAACAATGGAATGGATTACATATATAGACATAATAAGTAGAAAGTATAAATTGATAGTATGATGACAGGTGTACTAGTTATGATAAGAATTACAAACGCTTCAACCAATGTTTCATAACAGGAAATAGGTCAATGACATGAAAGAACATAGATCCTGAAATAACGTTCATTAAAAACTAAGACTACGTAATAGGACATGTTCAGATGATTCGACAGAAAAGTGTATATTTGAAAGAAAAGTGGGTGAATAAAAATAAACGAAACGTATGGTAAATAATAATAAATAAAAATCGTTTATTAAGGTTAATTCTCAAACGGAATTTTACAACTTTAAGGAAACTACATTGTGAGATTCATGATGTGTATAAAAATTAAACTAGAGAACACGAAGATGTCTTATCTATGATACAGAGATTATTCAATATTAAAAACGCTTTCTTCCTTACGGGGTTAAGTTTTTTTTTAACATTATTCATCATACCACTAAAGACTGTACATAAGTATTATGAGTACCTTTATTATCGGTGTTTCTCATTCATATGAAAGCAGGAACAAAACCTACAATCTCCACAAACCTCACTGTACTGATAATAATCATATCCACATCAATAAATAGCTTCAAGTTGTAACTCATGCAGTACTAATGCGAAGCCATGGCCAGTGCACTTCAACCTCAATAAGTTGTTTTCTAAAAGCTTGACTGTAATTACCACAAAAATAGTGTTTTGTTAATTATCATTCTGAATTTTCAAGACCGGGGGTTAGGCGCTAGGAAACTTTCATCCCCAGTGATTGATATATAAGGACACAAAATGTGTAAACATTCATGCATCTTCCCTAATACCATTGTCAATTGCAGCAAGGAAGAACGTTTTACTTTTTTCTATTATCTTTCGATGGTTTCAAGGCTGGGTTAAAAGTTCATAGGCGCCCACTAGAAGTATTGCATTGACTTCAATCAATGCACTAAGATTTGATCACCGTAGATAGATTTGGGTAGTAACAAAATTATCCTCAACTTTTGAGTTATTTTATGTTCACTATGTCACCACATAAAAATCAGTTTGAACAATTTTTAAGTCGCACTAATTGCTCACCAAGCCAACACACGTTAGAGTGTCATTTCAGAGACAATGCCTTAGTACGGCCGAGAGTGGAGAGAGTCCACTCTCCCTCTCCAAATGCTCTCATATGGCCAGCGAATATATAGCCTCTGCTAAGGAAGTCCTACTCACTGCCTTCTCGTGGCGAAAGTGTTGTTTACGAAATTGAGAGGATGAAAAGCGAATGTCTGGCGCTTTAACCGGGTTGGTGGACACGGAAAATCCACCTAGGAGAGTTGGAAAACCCTGACTCCAAACTAATCGTGCACATGGGCTCCAGTATCCTGAGGAAACAAATGACGTATGAATCAATCATTGATCACCGGCTACCATGAGACTGCATCTCCTCACGATGCTCCACTGCCTTATGGATCAGACATTCAGGTCAAAGGCTCCAGGTGTGGCCCCCTAAGAAAACCATCTGCTTCAGTATGGGCACCTGGGCAGTATCACAGCCCTCACACAAATCAAATGAGATTTGTGCGGCGCATATGTATCTGGTGCTTCCTTGTACCAATATTTATGTGTTTAAATAAATTTTAAAAAATAAATACTTTGATGAACTAATACCGTGAGTAAATAACTAGTATTTATTTACGACTAATCAAAGATATGGCTTTTGTTTGTTATGAAAGAGCTTTAAATTGTTAGTATTAATACAAGAAATGAAAGAACTCCATAATATAGAAATGTTTTGAGAATGGTATTTTGTTGCTAAAGATGTAAAGATACACTACAAACCGGAATAATATTATCGCTCAAATACCTCATCAGCAACTCAATAGCATCAATAGAATTAAAACAGATAGACAAGACTTACGACGATCAGAGAAATCATCAACAAGTATAATTTCATGTAACAAATTTGGTGGAGATCGATCTATCACTGAATGTACTGAACGTAATAATACAGACCAAGCTTCATTATGAAAACAAATTATAATTGATGCTGAAGGCAGGTTACTTCCATATTTATCGACTTTACACCTAGAGTATCATTAACGAAGACAAAAGTTATCACTCATCATAAAATCAGAACAAAGAGAAAACAGTTAGACAAATAAACAATTCAGTAAGTAATGATGGCATACAGTTAAAAGTAGAATAAGTAGATAGATATGCCGTGTGTTATTTCATAGGGCCATTCTAGGCCACACATATATTGAGTAATACAATATATTCTGAATATATTTGACTGTTTATTGTACTGATGCTAAAAACAGTAAATAAGAATTGGTGAAGTGATAAACTTTGCCATATTATTCATTAATAGATTCAAAACATATTTCAATGCTGGAATTCACAAATATATCGGAACATCAATATTTGTCAGTTAAAATGATAACTGGTTCAAAACAATATCGCTAAGAATAGGTGGATGTTTGTCTTCACCTTTCATCTGAAATATATATATATATATATATATATATATATATGTATATATACCTACTACACACTTTTATATACGGGTATAAACTAGAAACTGTTCCTAGTTTTATTGGTCAAACAATTCGTAGTGAGAAACACAAAGTAATCGAATAATTGCTAAATAATTTAAATTTACCAGTCACGAAATGTATAACTAATTAATTCTATGATATTTCAGCGCAAATTGGTATCACTCACCAAGTTAATACAATAGGCTCAGAACGGATATAGGCTTGTCTAGCCTTTGTCAACTTGCGTCATTTATGGCGTAGGCGAGATATCCGTCTAACAACCAAAGGACGGGTTTACTGTGCAGCAGTTCGTTCCGTCCTACTCTATGGCAGTGAAACATGGCCGGTAAGAGTAGAGAACACTCGTAGGCTACTAGTATTCGATCATAGGTGTCTTCGAAGCATTGCTCGTATATCCTGGGACCACCGGGTAAGTAATCCAGTTGTTAGGAAACGGGTAATAGGTAAGGATAGCAAACCAATTGGTGAAGTAGTGAAACTTCATCAGTTGGGATGGCTTTACACGTGTTACGTATGCCCAACCACCGATTGCCTCGACGTGCAATGTTTTATGGTGTAGGAGTAGGTTGGAAGAAAGCTAGGAGCGGCCAGATCAAAACGTGGCACAAATCCATGAAGTCACTGACAAGTATACTGGGCCGTGTTTGTAGGTGTAGACAACCTGGTTGGGATTTGCGAGATGATAACAATCGATGGTTAGAGACCTTGAATGACATGGCTCAAAATCGTTTGCAATGGCGAAGGTGCATTCACTATTTGTGTTCTACCAAATCCTAATCTTCTGAATTCTTCATTTCCCTATCCTTTTTCTCTTTCCAAATTTATTTCACCGCATTATACTCCTTCAATAACATCTTCAAACCCTAATCTTTCACATGATGCTTATACTCTTACTACTTCTACCACTATGGTATTTGAATCGACAACTGCATCTCTGTGCTAATATGATATGGCAACTAGAACTAATGTACGTACGTGCGAAGTTCTACGTTGTGACTGACTGACTGAAATTATTACAAGCTATTGATAATCCTATTATTGTCACTATAGTCAGTTGTATTAATTTATTAAGTAACTAAGGCAGTTTTTTTCGAAATACAATAGGTATTCATTTGACAACTGTATAGTATTTGTTAAAAGAGAATGATGATTAAACTTGAAAGACTAAATTGCAGTCCGAATCAAATTAAAGATTGTCAAACTACTGTTTTAACAGTTGAATTGTGGGTATATATATATATATATATATATATATATATATATATATATTGTAATTCCGATATTCGAGCATAAACTAATCGGTCATGCATTCGAATTTCATCCAAATTACGAAAGTCTAGACCATTAGTTGTTGTCATTGCTCCTTCATGTATATGACAGCATCTCATGTATCTCACGTTGTTGTTTTCCTGGGAAGAGAAATTCTTCACTAAAAGCAGTAATGGTAAACCTTGAGACAGGGAATCAACATAGTTGCAACCAAACACAATAAATCACATTTGACACGAGACACGCTTTATACTGACTAAAGTTAGAGATGTAGACCACTCGATTATGACTCAATGCTTTAAAAGTATCGTACCCAACACATGCTTGAATTTACTGAACTCAATACTGCGTATGTAGATTATTATTCTGTTTTCTGTACTGTTTAATAAGTATTATTCACTTGTTACAGCTGTTATATTTTCTCAATTGATTAACTGTTTGTAAGTGAGGATGTTTGCGATTCAATTTGTTTCGTGATCAATGTAAAAAATATCTTTTAGAGAACCAATGGTATGCTCTATAAAATAAGCTATAGGATGGGTTTACTAAATGTGGTGTCTGTTTCACTGGAGTTGTACTTAGCTAAGCTGGAGATGATGAAATCGTCGTTGACAGTTAGTCCACTCTCTTAGAAACCTTGATGTTCCCAACATTTTAAAGACGTGACTTTGACGCGGGTAGCCAACTAATATTTCCAAAGTTCCCACATCAAAATTATAGAAGGTGGTTTAATGACCACAAAAATATTTATTATATGGAATAAACAGATTAGTAAACAAAAATAAATTAGTTTATATAGATAAAACAAAAATAATCATTACAACTTTGAGGGTAACTTACGTTCCTTCTCTATAGTCTGGTAAATATCGTCTCACACTAATTCGATCGCTAGCATACTGATTATAGGCATTATCCTCCCAACCCTTGTCGAATATTATCTGTTCAGCTGGTGATAAGTCTTCACGCTTTATTGTATATGCTTTACCACCTTCACCTTTTATCCAATATATTGTGATTTGATCATCGACATATCAAAAGTTCGTATCATTCAAATGACAAGCAGTATAAAAAAATTAATTAATTAGTCGAAAATTTCATGTATTTAGCTTTCTTTATGAATTGAAATAAAGTCAGAACAAACATGAATGCGGAATAATATGAATTCATTATATTACGTGTTTTCTCAGCAGCTACTTACAATCAAATATGTATTAAAATTTTACATTGAGGTAAGATATAGTGTGAAACACAAGCGAATGTGAAGAATTGGAATAACAAAGATTATCAATAATAGATAATTTCATGCAGTTAGTTCCCTTTATGAATTTAGCTGATGAGAAACCACGAAATATAATGAATTCATATTATTCTGCATCAATATTTGTTCTATCTTTATTTAAAATAATAGATAATGTGTGTGCAAGATCAGGTCGGAGGAGTGGGTGGTGTAATAATTGAGTGAAGTTCAGAGACAGATAATATAAATTGTGTGATAATTATAGAAGTAATGAAGGATTTGCACAAGATTCTTGGAATTAAATACTGATAAGATCGGTTACGTAATAATCAAACAAGATTTGATGAGTTCAACATAATGTAACAGAACTGAGTGAGTGGGGGATGGCTTAGATATACATAAAATAAGAATTCGGTAATAAAAGCGAAATATAACAAACTCAACATTAACAAAATAAAACTAATGACCAGAAAACTGAACTACTAGGGTAGTAACAGGTTTATTACTGTATCTTTTTGAATACATAGATCAGGTTTGAGTCTTTTATCGCAATCACTTCAGCGAACCGAAGAGACGCAGTATTTCTTTCTCTTCTGATAATTTTAAAACCTCGAGGAATGTCGATGGTATGTCTGGTGTCAAGTAATTGCTATTCCAATTCTTTACATTCACTTGTGTCAATTGTTTCACACTATATCTATTTACCTCAATGTAAAATTTTAATACATATTTGATTGTAAGCAGCTGATGAGAAAACACGAAATATAATGAATTCATATTATTCTACATCCATGTTTGTTCTAGTTTTGTTCTAATCAATTAGTGTTTATTCGGATGCTAAGATGTGAAAAAAGCAAAGTATTTTTGTATTCCACAATATGAAATAGCATTAGCAAGAAAATTAGTGAAAAACAGTGAGTAAGTGTTAGTTAAGGAATCTTTGCCACTAAATACTCGAGAGTTTAGACGCAGTCGAACTCTGAACATTTAAGTTTCGCAATGAATGTGCTATTCTAAGATAACTAAATTAGGACCACATGGTTCGATTTTTTTTCCAAATTCAGTAACAGCAAACCCATATTGTTCACAATAAATAATACACTTACCTAGCCACTCGAAGAAAAATCGATAAACATAAGACAGATAACCATTTAAACTATTGATGCCGACTTAATGGTTTAAGTGTTAAGCATCCGCTGAGAAACCTAGAGTTCTTAGTTCGAACTCCGGCAGGGTAATGGATGCGCACTGCCTAAGAGTTCCAAACTAAGATGAAATAGATACGAACTTCCTTCGGGTTTTTAATAGTTATCTGACTAAAATCCCTCTATGATGTACTCTACAAAAATTCAAGTCTCCACAATCCCCCATAGTGAAAACAGTGAAGTTAACAGTGAATTAGAGCATATTAGTGAACATAACCTTTTTTGATTGAAAATAATTACAGTTTCAAAACTTCATTCACATAAAAAATATTCACTTGTTTACTGGTTTACACAAATGCTGAGATTGAAAACATCAGGCGGAACTGTTACTAATAATTGGGATATGAAGTAGTGGAAAAAAGTCCATATTACAATAAAATACAATAATATTTATGTAAATGAATCGATACACTTCATCCACAACAAATTCTAATCAGAGTGAAAACATCAAATTGATGTCCTTCTTAAATGAATAACACTCACCACAGTTGGATGCTTCGGAGAAATAATAAAAGCTATCGATTCCAATGGAGTTACAGTTTTATTCAAAGAAGCATATAATTCAGCAAATAACAATGGTTAGTTTAAAGTCACTGAAACATCTGAAGTATTCATATGAGTCAGTTATTCATGAACAGCTTAGAATGTGGTACAAATTGGAATTGGCCAACTTATCTCACTTCCCTACCAATCCATCGAACAGTATTACACAAACATATACGTCACTAGTGTTTACCGTTCAATATTACGTTAGTGAGAAACTATGACAGAAAGAATTTATTCATACCATTCTGCATCAATTATGATTTATGATTTAGTATTAATTGTTCGCGACTTTACAGATGGATAGATCAATAAAAATAAGTCAAACCTCTTAACAGTTGTAACCAAAAACAATAGCCTTCGTGTGCGTATCCAAGACCACTGTCTCCGGCGTGTTTTGAATTAAATCAACGTGAAATAGCTCTGGAAATTCATAGTTAACAAGCCTAGCGAAACGAACTTCATAGACTCAAAAACGTTTGTTAAGAAAAGCAGGTGAGCGAGTTGAAGTTAGTAACAATTACTAAATTAGAAGATACACTGACCTGGACCTGTTGAGTATTCGTCGCTTTTTGGAGGAGGAGTACTAGGAGATAAGCCTAACTTGTCAATAGCTGAGAGCTTATGTGAACGACTGCTTTCAACAGGTTCTTTACTGCCCATAATTTTGGACTTTTCCTTATAGTCAGGTCGCACAAGAACATTATCTTCCTCATCAACAGGCGGCACAATATCAGGTATATGATCCTCATCAAGTTCATCGACAGATAGACGTTTCGCATTCTCATGACCTATTAGAGAAACGAAAGAATAATATCAAGCTAATAAGGATAAATAAAATTTTTTATCAGAAATGAAAGCAAAGTTTAAAGACAACCATAATTCTAGATGATTTATCCAATTGTTTCATTCTACAATAAGGATGCTTCTATCCAACTGTTGTACTTGTGGCCGTGTGGATGCCTAGTTGATGTGTGGCTTGATAAGACCGCCAATTAGAGAGTAGCGAATTACCGACTGTAACAGTGACACGAAACCCGAACGAGCAGACTAGAGTGCTAACCGGTCCTGCGCTCTGTCTAGCCCAACCAGTTAAGTCCAAAACACCAATAACAGCCTCAGTGGTATGAATCATTATTTACAAACACACTGGGTTTTTATACAAACCAAAGTAATCAATAAACTGATTATAACTCAAGAATCGTATGATAATAAATCAAGGTCAAAATAAAGCTAATGATAAGAAAAATACGAATATGAATAGTTCAGTTACGTAATAATTGTACAATAGGAAATAGGCATATTACATTGATCCATAAATAGACCTAAAAGTTACCATTCGTAATTCACCGGGGGATATAACACCAACAAGCCTTGATTTGTGTTAAACATAACAGTAAATTGTATGGGGAAAAAACATTACTCAACATGAGGATTTACTCAAAATTCTATTAAGATATACCAGTTTCGATTTATTTAAATAGACCAGTTGTACATCTTTTTTCCACATTTTAACCGTTCATATGTTATTCGGAGTAAAAATTGATAAGGTGAATTCTAGTCTTGGTCAGACATATTGATGTGATACCGCTATATTACGCACAAAAAATCTGAATGATTGTATTAATACTTATTACTTCTGCCATATATATAAATCATTCCACAAACAATCTGTGAGTTAGTAATATCAAAACACTTTTAATTTCAGTGGAGATTAATTATTAAGGATAAAAGATTTGGTTCACATCAAAAATGAACATACTTTAACTGCTGATTTATCTCATAAGTTTTGAGAACTTAACAGAATTTCACAATTTAATACTTACGCTATCATTTTTGATAGTCATTCCTTCGGAAGCATTGCAATTTCAATATATGAGAAAGCTTAAAATTTATTTCCATTAATTGTCACTATGGATTCCGGATTACATTCCATAGTTCGTTTGTCAGTACTATTGACTGATGCATGAGGGATATCCACTAATAATGTTTTGCTGATTTGTTTAATTTTATAAGAAAACTAACGTAATGTATTTCTGTGTTTTGTTTCTGAATACCACTCCTGAAAAATTTTATGAGTATAGTTTCTTAAGATAGACTAAGCACTTCCAAAGGACTCGAAAATTTCAAAATTATAATGTAAATATAAGAAAAATTACGGAATAAGGTCAATCCATTTCATTCTCCATGGAGAATGGGTACAAAATTATCAGATAAAATGGATTTACACTGACTTTTCATAAATCCCTTCTAATAAATAAAAATGAAGAACCTATTTGCTGGACTACTTACCCAAATCATTGTCAATTGGAGGATGTGGACGAGCGTTCGGAATATCAGGTATGTTAGGATGATTCCCAATAAGCGAATTATTCTTTTGAGACTTATGTTGATCTTCTAGTTCCTTATGACTTGGTGGACGTGCTAAGATTTGATTACTTTTTACATATTTTTGACGAGGTAAATAGGCGGAATCTGCAGGCAATTTACCACGGTCAAGTTTATCTATGTTTATCCACAAAATGAGCAGAAGTCCAAAACACACTAATCCCAGAGGTAAAAGCTTATTTGTTCGCCAGAATAAATGACGCAAAACCCTTTTGCGCATGCTGTTCTAAAGAATAATCGTGTCAGTGGATCAACGAAACAGTGCCCTCTGAAACTACTTGATATAAACCGAAATGGAACAGAAACAGTGAAAAAAGCAATGAAAACTAGATAACGAATTTACCCAATCAAGTAAATTCTTAACGAAATTCAAATACTACAAGTAAGGTATTTTGAGCTTCGTTTTAAAGCGATGGAAATTAACTTCTTCGACGCATCTGAAAAGATTAAAATTTAAAGCTAATCAACGCAATTGTATATGTTGGCTGTAGAGTACGTCCTAGTTGTTATGAAGTTCACGAATAGCAATAGATGATTGAAGTAGTCAAGAAATATAGTTTTCATTTGTCTGTAGCTGCACATATCTATTGACTTTTTGTCCTCCAACAAATAGTGAGTTTTACCACCATTTCACACTGCTATTACAAGATTTTACTTGTTTCTTTTACAGTGTACTATTTATTGAGATTCTTAACCCTACTAAACCCTGTTCCTTGGGATACAGTTACGTTTCTGTTCAACTACGTCCTGACTTGGGAATTATTCGAGTAAAGAGATATCTTAACAGTGAGCAATGGTTCGTCAGAGATTTAACTGCGATACCGAAAACTATTGATGCACATCAGTTAGGCGTACTTTTGATCTAATTAATCAAATAATCAACGTAACCTACTTACCAAGGACTTGTCTTTAAGATACACTACCCCATGATAAGTTTGTTTAGACGTGGTGATTAGTTAATTTGGATGATTGTTTCAACTATTCAAAACTGATGGATTTACGGAATTTACTCACGTGCCGAGTCGGCACTTTGCCTTACTATAAATAACCTCGGTGTTTCGTGTCACTGAAATACCCTACAAAAATTTTAAAATAATCCTCAAACAGTTAGTTTGAAATTTCAGACCTACAGAGAAGAAGGGAATGAATACATGCTCATAGCTAAGATTGATCTTGAATACTGTCACCCACGAATTGAGTTCTAAACCGCAGTTAGCTTGTTAACTTTAGATATGAAGTCTGCACCTCTTGAAAAGGCTCAGTCAAGAAACCGTTGAATACGTGAATAGATTTATTTTCTAGGTCCTAGCACACTTAACTACTTAAAACTTAATTCTACCTTAGGTGATGAACTGTGACGTTATGCTTATTTGATGTATGTTTTTCAAATGTTTGCAGAAGCGCCATATCATAGTAGTCAGTACTTGCTATTAAATAACAGTTCTGCTTTAAGGACAAGTGACAAAAATTCCATCTGTCAGAGAACCCCCTAACCCTAACAGATAATACCTGAGAAGGTTGATTACAACTTCGGGAAAACACTACCCATTCGCCGGTAAAAATGTATTCATATTATTGCTTATTTTCAAACCACTGAAGTACTAAACATTCTGAACAACAGAATGTTGTACATGAGCTATAAGTATGATCAGTCTTCAGTAATAAGGATAGGAGGTCTAGTGACCTATTTTAATATCACGCCACCAACAACACAAAACATAATGTCTGGCTGAAAAACAGAGACACCAAAGAGTTAGACCACAATTTTTGATACAACAGAAGTGAACAGTAATGGTACCTAGTTTTTCTAGACGTCTTACTCGAAGAACAAATACATTCATAATGGTCAGAATGACCAATATGCTCGATTGTAGACAGTGGGCGGCAAAGATACTTCTCTGTTCACCTAGAAGATGAGGCAAACACTTCAAGTGCATGGTGATGAGGAAAGACAAGAAAAAATGAGAGCTTACAACTAGTAATATATCAAGACTAAAGAAACAGGATCAGTAACAGATGCTTACGATACAACTTATTTGAGGAAATTAGTCACGGATATGCCATTTGATAGTAAACGTGCTTCTTAATAGGACTGAAACACATTAACAAACTCATTTCTGATGAGAATCCAGCACAATTAGTCGAGTGACTGGTATCACGCTACAATAGTTCCAGCCACAAGACACACTAATGGCAAAATAAGTGTCTTAAAATTTTAGAATGAGATATAGAACAATAATCGGAAGATATATCTAGTTTCGTGGACCGACTAGTGTGCAACACTTGACTACACTTACGACGCACTAGCACCAGCGCCTTCAAGTAATGAGGGACAAAATGTGCGCTGACTTTACAAGGCCATAGGTACATGTAGTATAAGGACGGGTTAAACACTATAGTTCAAGTTGTTGTGTATGGATGAGAGCACTCTTTCGTCCAACGAGCTGCCGTATTTAGTATCAACAAATCACTGATGCCATCATGTAGAAGATAAATATTAGTAAATTTCAATAAAATATTGATTCAGATTAGATTCAGATTTGTGTAGTAAGGACAGAAGGCCCACTGCCCATTTCATTCCTTTTCTAGTATGCTTATGTGAGTGTCCAATCTTCTTTCGAATGAGTCAATTGAAGGTGCGGGCATCACTACGTCGGGTAACAGGTTCCAAGATTTGATGGCTAGGTGTGAAAATCTGTATGCCACGGATATTTCGTTCGTTCATGGCCTTTCTGCTAACCTGCTATGTCACCTGAGATATCCCGACCTAGTGGGGAAAAAAGAGGGAGTACATTGGGTCCAAAATCATTTCTTAGTATTCTATACATCAAAATCAGATCACCTCTTAATCTGCGACAGGGCAGAGTAAAGAGGTCTAGTTTTTCAAGCCACTCTTTGTATGGTAAACCCCAGAGTTCTAGAATTTCATGGGTACTTCTTCCAAGATAAACGAGTCACCTTCTCAATGGTGACTTGCAGCCTGAACATAGTTTTCAAGCTTAGTCCTCAATAAGGTTGTGTATACTATAGTGAATATAATAGTATCTAACCTCGTGAATGTCCCTTCAAAGGGCCAATAGGTTTCTATACCCCTTCACTGCGTCCTCCTGGCAGTAGGTCGTGTTACTAAGATAATGACTAGCTGTCATCCTAAGATTTCTCTGGTCCCACTCTAAGGGGTTGAAGATACGACTGGTATTCTAGTTTTGCAGCTATTAACCAGTAACACCTATATTCGAAGCGTTCCCCAATCGGTTAAAATCAGAAGTCACATGCGAAGAGATTGGAAAGATATATTTGATTCGTTATCAATATATCGAGAAGCGTTTACTCCAATCTGACTAGTGAACGTAGGAGCTGTGTCCCACGCTGGGTCGTAACGTGATCTGGTACGGATGCATGACCGAAAGCCTTCAGTTAAACAAGTCCACTTAAATTAATGTGGTCAGCATCCAATGTCGAACACTGAAAGAGCTATTGATTTTGGGGAATTATTTACAGCTACAGAGTCATCAGTTCCCATTCGGCTGCAGATGTTGTGAATCGAATACTCTGTTAGTTTTAGTGTCTCTTTGAGATCAAACTCCAACATGACACGTGCTGTATTTTTTGTGAGGTAGATTGTTTCATTCGTCGTCACATTGCCTTGAGAAACAACACAGGGTACTTCTGCAATAATATTTATCTTTCTATCAGGCACGCTGTGTGCTAATTTTGTTATCGGATGAACTGTGGGTCTCCTAATATTCCTCTAAGTTTCTAGGCTGATCAGACGCTGCATCAAGTTAAAAACGAGTACTTTGTTTATTAATATCCAAGGTTACATACTTCTTTTGGTGGTATAACATATCATAACTTTGTGAGTTATTGAGCCATATCTGTATTTCTTGAGATATGTTATCGAAGAATGACGTCGGTGGGATTTTTTTCTGTAGCTTGTCTCCTTATGGCTTTTCCGATGATTGTGAAACAATGTTCTTCGTATGGACAGAACCTATTGTAGTGCCAACCTCCACAAAACCAGCATGGTGGCGAGAGCTGATTGTCCGTGAGCAATAATTTTCTTGAGCCGGAATCCTTCTTCTCGCTTACAGTGTGAACGTTTGGCGATCGGGTATAATTTTCAATCATAGAGGTGTCATGTTTTATGTTCACCAGTCTCTGGCATTCCGTGGTTACTTCCTATAGCGTTACGTTCGAGCGTTGTTCAATTTTGCTAACAATTCTGGTTCTAATATCACCATCTTCACGGGACTGGAGACTGCATACAAAATCGAAACACTTTAACGGATCTGTCATTGTTGATGGTTTAAATTGCTGATATTCATGATGTATTAAACCTGAATGTTTCACCCAGTCATCATCACCGACTTTTGTTACCTTGAGGCACTGACGACAGATATTAAACAAAATGTCACTGTTTAGCAAAAACTTGCGACAAGATATCAATTGTTGCACCAACAGAAAAATCTTTGGGGTTCTTTGGAAGGATGGAATTACTGTAATGTTCATGTTTAACCGTGCCGAATTTTCTTAGGAGTATTCTGACTTCGGTGGCGCCATCACATCTTTCGAGGTCGACCTCGAGAAAATCTTCATATTTATTTAACCGGGATTCAAAAGTAATACTAGTTAGTCCATCGAAATTTAATTCTTGGATAGATTTAATGGTGGAACCGGTATGTGAATTACATGAATCATCAGTAAGTCCTTTGTAAACAAGATTCATTTGTTGCGTTAGCATCTCCAGGATGCTCAATTGTAACTATTCATACCGTTCTTCCTGACTTTCAAGAATAGATTCTACTTGTTGAAGAATATTTAGCATTGCTATTGGTACAACTCGTCGCCATTATTATGTTCGCTACTTCATTAACGCAGAATACGGTGTATAACTAGGACACCCAAACATATAGAACCACATGGTCGCAAATTAGAAGACAGAAAAAGACTGGAGAAGTGCTTGTTGGGTAATGGTCAAAATGTACAGAAAATCATGGGTATTTATAGATATGAAAGTTTGTTATATGAACAGTATAATTCAATCAATCCTCAAAGAGCTGAGGTGTAAGGATGGCTCGTTGGCAAACCCAAGGAAGCCTCAAGAAGCACAGAAAGAAGCGAAGACATTCCATCCAACCACCTCTATAGGGACATTTTAGAATGTTGACGTATAGCTTCCCTATTGGATGAATAAGAAGGACCCACTGTGTGCCTATCAGATGTCTGAAATGATGATTTGTCTATTCTGAGCTATACGTTCGGTAGATTACTTCTTTTTTTTGTGTTTCACTCAAATTAATAGTTAACTGTGCTTTAGCCTAAGCTCACTATCGGTTTTTTTTATAGTTTTCACGCAAAGGCTAGCTTTAGCTTATCGTTAACCGTTTCTATACATTTTTGCCAGTTTTTGTTTACTGTGTGTTTTTTTAACGGTCCTAAATTTACTGCTTGTATTTTTAAGACAGTCTAAATCTCTAGCCATGAAAAATTCATGCAAGAGACCTGGTTGCCGTTTTGACGTTACATCTGGCATGCAATGTGACAACTGTAAAGGCTGGTTCCATGAGGCATGTACAGATTTAACAGCAACAGCCTATAGCAGACTCAGCAAGTCTGATCGTAGGTGGGTATGTGTTACCTGCAACACCGATACGGTAGTTATGTTGGGTACTATCATTACTTTACTGACAGGTCTGAGAGATAAGTTGTCTAAGAATTCGGTAAATGATAGCATCATGACGGGTAACAAAGCTGGAACGCATAAGGCAAATAAGAAAAAGGATACTGACAGGTTGGTTATCGACGGTGCTGTTAACAGCACGAGTGATGATGTTCTGAAACTCAGCACCATCTTAACATCGACTGTCATCGACTCCCTCAGTAAACTTGGGTCCCTCGGGGAACGGTCGTTGAATGAGACAGTGGTTCCCAAAAATCCTGTAGTTGGATGGACTCACGTTGACAGGAGTAATAAATCCCAAGCGTCCCCTCCGAAACTGAACGTCCCAAGTATCGTGCGGAAATCAATTGATGCTTTGGCCGCACAGTCTACCCCGAAGACTGTCCGCCCGGTCATCACTGAGCTCAGGAATGGAAAACGCGCCTCGACATCCAAACAACAAGATACCAAACCTAGACGCCCTGGAAAACCTGGGAAATCAATTGCGGTTCGTGACGACTCTGTCATAATTATGAACCTTATTGACAACCCCGACCTTCCTCTCAGTTTGCAGGACAAAAACGATAGGATGCTCTGGGGAGAATCAAACAAGAGGCTTGAACTCCCTAGAATAGAGCCTTTGACCGTCACACGGCTCACTCGGGGGAAGGACTCTAACCACCTAAACCACCCGAGTCTACTTCGCGTAACACTTATGAATGCTTCCGACGTAGAGGACGTCCCGTTAGCAAGTTACTTACTTAAATCCGATAGGAACGTAGGAATACTGCCCGACATACCGTATTCTGAACGAAATCTCATCCGGAACATCCCTAAGGAATCTCGCGAGGCGTTTTTCCGTGGACGAAATATCATTGTGCAAGGTGCACCGGAAAATATGGACCCAGCTCAAGTAAACTCTGATATTCGAGAATGGAAATTCACCAAGCATTCCTTAAAACTCAAGAACATATTGACCCAACAGGTAATGCGACTGGCCAAGAGAGACGGAGACTCTAGGCCCCGGCTGCTGAAGATAACCTTCCCCTCCTCCCACATGGTGGCTGCAACTCTGGAAGCATTTCGTGCCAATAGACGTCGGTTGCCAACTGGCATCCATATGCATCCGGATAGGCCCCACGACAGCAGGAGCAAGCACAAACGAAAGCTGGAGCTGGCAAATCCACTCGTGGACTGTCTTGATCATAAAAAAACGTGTAAAGGACAGGGACTACCAACTCGGTAAACATCGTATAGGTAGGCTACATGTCCACTCACACACGGCTCATATAGACAAACAAGAAGAAGGTCACGCGTTCCAAATTGAAAGCATAAACTGTCTATACACAAACGCCGAGAGCTTGCCAAACGAAATGGGTGAGCTACGTGAACTTAGCAACGCTAATGATGCCCATCTGATAGGAATATCCGAAACTTGGATAACGTCTTATTTTACGGACCAAGAGTTAGCAATAACTGGGATGTCTTTATTTCGCAACGACAGAAAAACAGGAATGAGGGGTGGGGTAGCACTAAACATACGGTCATGCCTGGATGCACACCAACTTCACAACCAAGAGTTTCACAATCTTGACGAGTCAGTATGGTGCTCAGTAAGATTATCTACCACCTCGAGGTGCCTAGTTGGGGTGGTTTACAGGAAACCCACTGCTAACATCGAAT